ATCTCTTAAAAAATGTATATGTAACAAATTTCCATATAACTTTTTACTTTTTATAAAAAAAATAATAACTGCGGCTCTCACTTATTAATAAAAATTTCCTAATTTCAAAAGTATTTCATCAGAAACACATATATAGTAATACACTCTCTAATCTATTGTCATTGCCAATTTCGCATTACGCATACGCCACGTAGTCGGCCAGCGCCAGCTCTTTCCCACGTTCCTAATTAGCCGACTGTCATAAAAAGACCAGGCAAAATAACAATAAAGACAAAAACTGAATAAATATATAGGAGCATAAGTAGTTTTTTGTTTTCGAAAAACATTTAGCAATGTAAACAGCAACGGGGGCGCCTCTCGGCGCATTAATCTCCATTAAAAGAGAATTTCAATGAATTTCTGCGGGTGGGACAGTGTGGCGCCAATGGCAAGCCTCCAGCCTCAAGCGCCTGTGGTTAGCTTTCAAGCTCCACAATCATATTGTCCACACTGGCAGCTACCGCACTTACGCGACTCTGCGCCGTACTTACATTTGCAATAATTCAAAGGTAAATAAAGTGCCAAAAATGCTTAGAGAAAATGATTTTATGCTGCGCACCGACAACGACGTTCGACTCGAGCCCCGCCCCCGTCTGCCTAGCCGGCACCCATTTGAGGGGAGCGCAGACAGACATTCACGAAGGCGACGCCGCAGCGCAAACATTTTAGTCGCCCAAAACGCTAATGGGTAAACATCTGCGTGAATGCGGTGAAGATCCAAAAAGCTGGGAAACTGAAGCTGAGTCTGAAGCTTGACAACTTCAAAAGTTTGTAAGTTGAGCGCGTTTTGGGCGCGGTTAAAAACGCGCACGGAAATACCCACTCGATAGATTCGATTAGCGTACGATTTCATGTAGATTGCTAAATTGGTTTTCCCTCGATAAGACCGATGCCCGATGCCCGATGTTATAGTAAAAATATTTGATTTATCAATTTGCCGTTGCCACCTATCAAGATGGTATTAAGCTCTAATCATAGACGTTGATTTATCAACCAAAACCAGGCCAGCCTTCTAAATACCTAGTTATAAATAACCCAAGCCAGGCAAAAGCCATATATAATCGTAGCTATATATATGTGTACATATATATAGCATGTATAATATTATTAACAATAATTATTGCCTTCCATATCTGCCAGAGATTCAAGAGAGTTCCACTCCTCCAGAGCGGGCCGCCTCTCTGATAGAGCATGACAAATCTGTTTACCGAACCGACTTGACTGGAATTTCAGTTTCCAATTAACGTGCGTATAACATTATTATAAAGATAGATATAGATAACTGAGCGATTTCTAGAAATTCGTATAGCCGGCAAAGTGATTCAATTATAATGAAATGATATTTTGTTTCCTTATAGACATTGTGTCACCTAGCTATAATGATGAATGTGGAATGACATATGTTTGTGTGTATTACTAAGGCCACTCTTTGACGTCAAGCAAAGTCCAGGTATTGCAGCTATAGCCTCTTCCGGTTAATCATGCTTTAGGTGGAACACCAGGAAGTGTTGAGAAAACTGTTGTATGGGTCAGGGTTTAATAATAGTAGGCGCTGATATATGGGTATCATATATATAGATAGAATTGCGACAGCTAATTGTGAGATCATAAATAAAAAATATTTCTTTACAAATTTTTGTGAGCATGAGTTCTAATAGACCACAGATAATCAACAGTTATATAATCAGTACTTATCTCTTCTCTCTTCTATATTTACTTACCTTCTCTTCTCATAAATATTTACTTTTTTAGATTGAATATATGTATATGCATATATT